CTTACAACTCTGTACTTTTTCCTATAAGGCCATTCAAGATGCCTATTTTGCAAAGACAAATTGATTGAATGAAAATGTATGATTGTATCATTACAATTGTGAGAACCCATCAAATAGACAGACAGATAGAAAGATAGAAGAAGGGGAGAGAGACAGATTAAGTTATAATAAAGCAGAAAACAAAAAAATAAAAAAAATAGTTAATCTTAAAAATTTTGTTTTGACTTATTTGAATGCTTATATCTATCCTATACTCAACAGAATATAATTTATTAAAATAAATAAATAAGATAGATTAAAATTTTGTTTAGAATATTTCACCCAGTCTTCAGTATAATTTATCTAGATTTACATGCATATGGATGTTTCTGCATACATATATATAAAGTCAAGATGAATAAAACCCTTAACTCATTTATTTCACCTCCCATATGCAACAAAAGCCTACCTACGAGCAACCATCACATTAGGTCTCTTCCATTTCTTCCTTAAATTTCTTTTTCCATTTTGGCTTTAGTATCTTTAATACCTAACTTGATGTGCTATTCTTTCTTCAACTCCTTCACACATCCCTCTTCCAACGCCACCGACATGAATCTTGAATATTTCGAGATTGTTACTTGTAAATCTTGGAGATAGAATTCCAGATATTCTTATATTCAAATTTTAGCTCATTCAGTTTTGATTTCCCTGGTCTATGAGGTGGAAACACTAAGTTTCAGATGAGTGATGATAATAAGGATTCATATTGTATACTCTCTCAGTCTTATTTATAGGGCAGAGAGAGAAGTTTTTTTTTTGTCCTATTTATAAGTCATCTCATTAAATTTTTATTACAAATTTCTCTACTTGACCTCTATTAAATGTTGGAGAAAGAAAATATATTGTTAAAGTATGTATATTTTAATAGAGGTAAAGTTAAAAAATTATTAAATTTCTAGACATAGTTAATGAGCTTTAAAATTTTCCTTGATTATGGTGAAACATATTAGAAATGCCTTACAAATAGGATCAGAATAGTATTAGGATCTTGATATAAGGTGCATTCAATTAATTATAGACATTATAGTTTAGTAGTTATTGTTGGCAACAGGTAGGAAATTGAAGCTTGAGTCGTGTCGAAAGAAACTATCCTTGAAAACTATTCCGCCACGATTGTACATTAGATCAAAAACTCTTCAAAATTAAACAAGCTCGTCCTGCATATAAGCAAGGCAACAGAACAATAGAGTCTAATAGGAATTAACTCAAGCAACATAGCAACACAATATATAAGGAGGAGGAAAGAAGTAGCTCAAAAACTCAAAAGCCAGGCAAAATGGTTTTGTCTGTATGCAAGCCTATATATAGACTGAGATCTTGGATATGGGCATTGGAACTTTAAACACCAGATTAATCCACTATTAAGCACCAGTTACAAGTGTATAATTTCCCATTAAGCACTTGTCTACAGACGTTGGGGAACAAATAACATTGATGATAAAATTAGTTTAAGAATAACCTGAAAGCTTAGAAAATGGTTAAGGTTGAGATTCAAAATTCAAATAGCTAAAAAATAAGGTTTTCTGGTAAGTTAATTTAAATAAATAATTATTTATTTTTTGCAAAATTAATTCGAAAAAAAAAGAACCAATTTCTTCTTTGACTTGTGTATAGAGGGGTGAATTGACTGTTTTCAACTGTGATTGCTCTGAGTTGACTTATTTTGTGCTAGTAAGTCCACTTTTCTTCCAAATTCATTTTGCTAGTGCATTTTATTCCTTAGTATATATACATTAGGAGCTCTCTTCTCTTAGGCAATGTGAGACTTGTCATTTTGACACACCACTTCAAATGTTACAACAGTTATGACAATATCTTCATCGCAAAATAATTATAGGTGATACAATTGAGGCTTCTATTGGAGCTAAGTCATAAGCAATAATGAAACAAGACACTTATCAATATATTGTTAGGTGACTGTATGAATAGTAAGGTGGCACCATTTATTTTCACCTTTGTTATTTCTTTAAGCCTCGACTATTCATTTTCTTTATTTTTAATTTGCCTTCTCTGGCAAGAAAATCCAATTTTTTCCCCTTTCCCTGTAGTCTTTAGATTTTAGAGGCAATTAGAGTCAAAATTTTATACATTATGATTATGTGAATTTGAGGTTGATGTGGTGATTGCATGGTCGAAGGGTGATGACAGTTATGAGCATTGGTTTATTATTATTGCAACATTATCATATCTTTTTTTTTCTGTTTTTCTTTTAAAAGAAATTTTAATTTCTATTTAAAAAAAGGTTAGATTTGTTTTCTTTAAAAAAATCTTATTTTCAAGTATTTTTCGTTTGTCTTTTTATTCAACTTCTCTTCCTATCAAGTATTTATTTACATAGATATGATATTCGTGAGATGACTATTCCTCACAATTATATATGTATGATGATAGATATATATATATATATATATATATAAGATGTATTATATAGGTGAGATGGTTATTTCTCACCTTGAGTTATACATTATATGGTGTATTATATAATACAAGGGTGAGATGTTATTTCTCACCATATTGTACATGGAAAGGATATGCATATACTATATTATAGGTGAGATAGTTATTCCCTACTAAGATTGGTGATTGCTTGTTGGTGGTAGGAAATGTTGGGATCAAATGTTTGGTGGTTATTACATGATTGTTTGACTTATTAGTAAAGCATTGAAATACTATTTTTTCTTTAGCATATAGAGAATTTGTAAAAGTGAATATTTGAAGTTTTGAACACTATGATTGAATTTTATTTTAACATTGAAACTCAATTGTGAAAAACTCTTGTGCACCTTTGGTTCCCTTTCACTCACTTTGTTATTTATACTCTTACTAAGCTAGTAGTAGACTTACTCCTCTCTTAATTTATTTTTCAAATAAGGCAATTGTTAAAGTGTATGATTAGCTATCTTTAGACAGATGAAGTATATTGCAAATAGTTGGATAGTCTTATGAGATTCCATGATGTCATGATTACTATGGTGGTGTTAGAGTCAACATGTAATGTCAGATGAATAGTCATGGTTTCATACAAAGCTTGTTTTCTCATTTGTTTTTTCTTTATTGTTGTGACATATTTTTTGTGAAAGGTGTAATGAGTTAAAGGCTTGTTAGGCTAAGTGGAATTAAATTAGCTTAGCCTATGTGCTAGTTACAACTCATATTTTGGGTCGTGACAACAATTTACTTATCAATTTTTTAAATGTTGTTTAGTCATCAATGTTGTCTAGCTAGTTTGTAAATATAAAATGACTAATATTAACTATAATTTTAATATATTTATCAATATAATATGTTTTATATGAAATGTAACAAAAATTTCTAAAAACTTGTTTGTTTACTAGCTGCCATCACTAGCTTGTTTGAGTATTTTTCATGATACACAATTTACATATCCTAAAAACTATCTATCTAGCTGGTAACAAAGTTTTTTGTTCCATGTTTTTTCATGATATGTGTTTTTCATACCCTAAAACTATCTTCCTAATTAACAATAAATCTTTTGATTTAATGCGATTGACATATCATAAAAAGTAATCACCTAGGGGGAACAAATCTTTATGTTACATGTTTTACAAAATGCAATGCACATCTCATAAAAATTGACATTGGTCTCAGTGTGCAAGTGAATAGGCTTTGGATGCAAGGGTATAAGCTCGAGATGTAAGGTTAGGAGGTGAAATGGTTTAGGCTTGGAATGCAAGGGTGCAAGATAATAAGCTTTGGGTGTAAGGGTATGAGATTTAAGGGTAAGGTTATATAGGCTTGAGGTGTAAGGTAATATATTTTGGTGCAATCTTAAAGGCTTGGGGGTGCAAGGGTATTGGTTTTGGTTGTAAGATTATAGGCTTTGAGTAAAATAGTATAGACTTGATATGCAAGGGTATAGGATTGGCATGTAAAGTGTAAAGTGATAGATAGACTTTGCGTGTAAGGTTATGGGTTTAAGGTGTAAGAAAAGTATAGGCTTAAGGTGTAAGATTATAAACTCGAGATGCAAGCTTATATGCTTGGTTGCAATGTGCAAGGTGATAGGCTTTAATTGTAAGTTTGTAGACTTGAGTTATAAGGTTATAGGTTTGGGGTACAAGTGAACCTTAGTGTGCAAGTACATATTTTTCAAGATATGATTTTATCATCTCATTAAAGAACATGGAATAGAATGTATTGGTTCTCCAAGTGGTTATTTCTTAGGAAATGTTAATAGTGTATCATGAAAAAACATGAAATAAAAAATCTTTGGGTGGCTATTTTTCATGATATGTTAAGCACATATCTTTAAAAATTTTGGTTATTGACGACCCTTCATTAGTCGGCCAGAGCTTAGATAGATACACTGTCACCTACTAGTGAAGGGGCCAGAGCTTTGGTGACTGAAGCTCCAGTGACTAGATTTTGCAGCTTTTTTTTTTAATTTTATTAATTAACACAAAGACATTTTCATGTATTTATCCCATCCTTTTATGATTATTTTGATGTACTTGTCTTAATTCTTGAGAACAATTTCCTTTTTAAAAAGATCTTTTCCAGTAATTTTTTTAAAAATATATAATCAAATTTGAATTATGAAAATTTCACCTAAACAATTTAAAGCTATAATGTTTTATTTATTTAATGTAAAATTATAATAAATAATTTTATTAAAAATTAAATCTGAATCATAAAAAAACTTTGACCTCGTAATGATAAAGAGACAACGCGGGAAACGGAAAAGATGGGGAAATGTAACACCCCTCCCGAGAATTCCAAAGGTTCGGCCAACCACTTTTCTCTCCACGTGGCGCCTGTTCTTACTTCTCACATAAAACAACCATACCAATGTGGGGCCCCGTGGCTTGGCAAAAAGAAGAAAAACCTACGTGGGGCCCTATACTTTCATCACTTGTGGCAGCCATTTGACGACTTTCTGTACCAGCAACAACGACTATTGCCTTGCCGGCATTGCAATACACAACAATACTGTTCGTGTTTTCTTTCCCATTCTAAAAAGTGATATGCAACTTTCGTTTTCGTATTTGTTCTTTGGGGATTTTTTTATTTATTGACTCCATTATGTTAGTAGCGAAAAAGTTCGAGAGTTTTTCCAAACTCCAACAAACGATTGGTAGCTTCAAGCTTTTCTTTTCTCCTATCTTTTCCATTTCTGTTGTCTTTCCTTCTTTTTGTTTTTTTTTTCATTTTTTTAATTTCACCTTGTCTCTATGATATAGCCGTTCGGTATGATGATGATGATGGGTGGGAGGAGGAGAGCGATCTGACTCTGAGGCAGAGAAGATATTTTTGTTATGGGTTCTTGTGTATCAACGCTGAATAGCTGCGTTGGAGAGAGGTCGAGCTCCTCCAAGAAGAAGACTTGGAAGAGAAGAAGATATGGACTAAGAAGAAGAGTGTCTTCAAACTCGTCTAATGGATCATTGGACAAACCCACCTTTCAAGGTTCGTTCTTTTCTTCTTTTTCGTGGCTTTGCTTCTGTGAAATGATTTTGGAGATGGAACTCCATAATTGAGACACTTGAAAGAATCTTCATTTTTTTTTATTTGAGATTCTATTTTTCCCCCCTTCTTGGAGTGAAGCTTGCCAATTTCTCCTATGATTTTAGATAACTGGGGTATAGAATTTGGGAGATTGTATAGGATGAGTAAGTTTCTGAGCTGTCATGGAATGAATGATCCTTGATTGTGGAAGGCTAAACTAGAGCAAAAATAAATCTTGGTAAAGTTAAGATGAATGTGTTAATGAGTGGTACAAATTTACTTCTTTTGCCCAGAAATTTGCAGTAATTTTGTTTGATTTAAAGTTAATGTAATGATTGAAGAAAAAATGTAATTGGCTTATGGCATAAAGCTAGAAGATAAAGATAAACTATTTACATCTGGCAGATCAATATTTTCGCTGAATTCCAATTATGCTTTTATAATGACCTTCATTATTGCTCGCATGTGATTGAGATGTTAATTTTTGGCAGCTGGTAGTGTTGAGGAGACATGGTTTGATTCAGTTGCTGTATTTGAGTCTGACTGCGATGAAGACTACTTGAGTGTCCCTGATGGTATGATTTGGGAAACTTATGAATTAATTTGGATAACTTGTACTTATCACCTCTTTGGATGATTAAATCAATGTTCTTGATATCTGCAGATGTGGTATCTTTAAATGGTATTGAAGCTGGATCCTTATCAAGTTACTCATCTTCAAGGGATGCCAACCATGGAGGTTCAAGTGATCAGGTGCACAGGTCAGCAGAGTTATCTGTTCGGTCTACCAGTGCAGATAACACTGATTTTCGGTGCAAACATGATGGAAGTGTAGTAAATCAACCTGTATTTGTGGATGATATTTCATCAATGGGTGCTTCCAACAAGGATGGTGTACTGTTGGACAGTTGTGGGATTCTTCCAAGCAATTGTTTGCCATGTCTTACTTTGCCAGCTGTTCCCTCTGATGAGAAAAGAAGATCGTCAATTTCTGGTTCTCCTAATGCACAGAGAAAAGCTCCTATGAAACTCTCTTTAAAATGGAAGGAAGGAAATGGGAATGCCAATCGGCGTGAGTTGGCCAAAAAAATGAATAAACACATTTATAATGTAATTATTAGTAGATCCTATATTTAATATCACTTTCTTTTTTCCTCCTGCTTTTCAGTCTCCTCAAGAACCCTTCTGCAAAGACCAATTGCAGGATCACAGGTACCTTTTTGTCCAATTGAGAAGACGATGCTTGATTGTTGGTCGGAAATTGACTCAAGCACTTTCAAAGTTCGAGGACAGAATTATTTTAAGTAAGACCAAGAGTCTTTCTGTCAATTCCTTTAGAAATACATTTCCATATCTTAAGAAATAATTAAACTACATAATTACATTCCATATTATCAAAAAAAAAAAAAAAAACTACATGATTACAACTTGATGATTTGTTGGGGAAAAATTTGAAGTTTCACATGTCTATTGGTGTTCTTTATAACAGGGACAAAAAGAAGGTATTTGCTCCCAACTATTCAGCATATTATCCTTTTGGTGTAGATGTATACTTATCTCCACGGAAAGTGGACCATATAGCTCGGTTTGTGGAACTTCCTGTCATTAGTTCTTCTGGGAATCTTCCGTCTATACTTGTTGTAAATGTTCAGGTACTTCTCTGCAAAGATATAGTTGATGTTCTACATTTTTTTATTCCTCAAATTGATCTTACTCTGTCCCCATTCTAATCCTTTATTACATGTATTCATTTACTTGACTTGTGCATATTTCACATAGAATTCAAGCTGGGTGGTTTAATTGGAGAAAAGCTAAAGGAGTTATTTGTGACCGTAAGGTGCCTAATAAACTTAAAGGAAAGTTTTATCGCACTGCTATCAGACCGGCAATGTTATATAGTAGTGAATGCTGGGCTCTAACGGGACAGCAAGAGCATAAAGTTGGAGTAGCAGAGACGAGAATGTTACGATGGATGTGCGGACATACACGTAAAGATAAAATTCGAAATGAGCACATACGCGAAAAAGTGAGGGTGGCACCTATTGAGGAAAAAATGGTAGAAAATCGGTTGAGATGGTTTGGGCATGTACAAAGAAAACCAAGGGAGGCACCAGTGAGAAGAGTGGAACATATAACTTTGAGTCCGATTAAGAGAGGTAGAGGAAGGCCTAAGAGAACACTTTTGGAAATTGTTGAATGTGATCTCTTAATTAATAATATTTCTAAAAGCTTGATAAATGATAGAGCACAATGGCGTCTTGCAATCCATGTAGCCGACCCCACCTAGTGGGATAAAGGCTTGTTGTTGTTGTTGTTGTTGTTGTTGTTGTGCATATTGTTAGCAAAAGGTTATATATGCCACTTCAAATTCTTTACTATCTTTTTCTTTATTCTTATATTTCATTATAATTTTAATTGGCTGGATAGTCTGATTCTCATGTTATATGGATTTCAGATTCCTCTCTACCCTGCCACACTTTTTCAAGGTGAAACTGATGGGAAAGGAATAAATTTTGTGTTGTACTTTAAACTTTCTGAAAGTTATACTAAGGAGCTTCCACAATATTTTCAAGAACAAATCAGAGTAAGATGGAACTTTCATCTGTCAATTTAATGCTTTACTTCACCAACTATATACATCCTATACTGCTAATTAACGCTGTTTCTGCTTAATTACTAGCATTAGCTCTTCCATTGTCCATAGTGCATGAAAAAGAAAATGAAAAATGAAAAAAGACAAGTAACAAAAATGTACCATAATCATGTCTTATCTGATAATCCAATTGAACTTTGATATTAAGAATTCCTAAACTATTGTACATTAATTTGGGGAAATTGAATTACTTAATGTTTTTGATGAAACAACAAATGTCTATGCCTTTGTATAGAGGTTGATGAATGATGATGAAGTTGAAAAGGTCAAGGGTTTTCCTATGGATACAATAGTACCCTTCCGGGAAAGATTGAAAATACTGGGCCGAATTGTCAATGTGGAAGATCTTCCAATGAGTGTCCCAGAACGTAAGCTCATGCTGGCTTACAATGAGAAGCCTATTCTTTCACGTCCTCAACATGAGTTTTACTCAGTAAGTTTCCCTGACATAATGCAATTGCTTCGTTCAATGCACCTATTGATTTTCAACACAATAATGCGAAAAGCCTGAGTAGTCTTAGTTAGACAACACCAAATCTAGAAGCCTCCTCAAAGGGATTACTCTCAGCAGTTCTGCTGGTGTGGTGATCATATCCATAGCATGGAAATACAGGTCAACCGGCCTGATTGAACCAGTAAAATGTTAAATCAGTATCTTGATTGGTTGAATAAAATGTTATATTTATGACTAGTTTGATCACGATTCGACTATGATTTTAACCATTAATCTTTGAAATGGCTTCTTGACTAGTTCAATGACTGGTTTAATTTTTAGTATCTTGATCATATCCAACCTTTAACATCTCTTGTGGTTCTCTCTATTGTCTATTTTGAGTCTACTTGCAAGGTATTCAGTGTCCCTATTGGTGCTGAAAAGTCTCTTTTATGTATCAGTAAAGCGTGAATAAAAAGATAGACATGCACTAATTTAATGATTAAATTAAATGGTCCTGTGGGTCGTTTTCATTCATTTGTAAAGGCCATTTGTGCTGTCAGCATGCTTTCCCTGTTAAAATTCTCAAAAGGCTCATAAGAAAAAAGAAAAAGAAAACTAGAAAGATGAGATTCAAGTTTTTCTATGGCCTTCTTTTTCCAGTTGATTTCTTCCACCAGTTTTGGTGGCTTCTGTATGAATTTTCTATGGCACCTTTATTTTTGGTTCATAGATTAAATCTGTTTTTCCTGATAAGCTAACCAATAAAAATATTGGATTTTCAGGGAGAAAATTACTTTGAGATTGATTTGGATATGCATAGGTTCAGTTACATCTCCAGGAAAGGATTTGAAACTTTCATGGATAGGCTAAAAATCTGCGTCCTTGATCTTGGCCTCACAATTCAGGCAAGTAGTTTTTGTGAAGCTGAAAATATACATGGCACTTGGTGAATGTTTCTTATGTTTTTTGGGATACAAAATGTAGATTTAGATTTTTTTTTTAATATTTTTTTGTTGTAATTGCGAAATTAATTTTTCATGTAGTTAGGGATTTAAAATTGTCATCAATCAGAAGTCACTGGTGTATTTTCTTACTCTTCTACTCTCTCTATTTAATATTATAAGGAATTTTTTTTTTTCAAAGCATCATGTTAAAAAAATGAGACATTTTATGTGCAATTAGTGAAGTTTTTTTCCCCAAAAATACCCTTAATTAGAAGGTATAATTAGCAAGTTTTTTAATTGAGACACCTAATCAAGAAAAGGTAAACATGCAAAGAGTGTTTAATTTTGAAGGTGATTAATGAACTTCTTGGGGGTGTAATCTAATTAAAAATATCTTATAATATTGAAGGGGGGAATGAATGACATTTACATATAACTCCTCTATTTGGATCTTCTGTCTAAAAAGGAAAAATAATTCTCATCAATAATCTTGAACTTCCTTGGGTTAAATCTTTAAATAAATGACTTTTATGATTATTGACAATCCAATTTCCATGCAAGTTCTTTGATATTACAATGGATGATTAACTTTTGTTTGCATAATGAAACAGGGGAACAAAACAGAGGAGCTGCCAGAGCAGATCTTGTGCTGTATTAGATTAAATGCTATTGACTACATGAAGTACCCGCAACTGGGATTAACTCAGGATCCTATCTAATGAATTTTCAAAATTTTATTAGTATTATTATTATTATTCTAGAATTATGATCAATAATTGTCAGCTGCAAAATATAATTTCATGGTATTTTCCTTTTGGGTCAGGATGGCATTTTTGTCTTTTGATATTACATCTTGGTCATTAGCAACAATAGAGTTAGAGTCACTTCTTCAACAATTGAGGGTGAAACTTGGGCCCACTCATCCCCTTTGACAAAGAAGGGTCCATTCTCTTAAATATTCTGCACTCTAAATTTAAATAGAAATTAAAAAAAAATTGTAGGCCCTTGCTTTGCGTTAAATTTGACGTTAATTTTCATAACTTATTAATAGTTTAATCGTTTTTATTTTTAAGTATACATTAATTTATTAATATTATATATTAATATATTGACATTGATTTCAACGGGTGGTTTCTATATTTAGTTAATATGTTGAGTGAAATAGAATACGCGTTTAAATATGTAATGCTTATACGCATAGTAACACACACACACACACAGATATAGAGAGAGAGAGAGAGAGAGATTACAAGGTTTATAAATTTAAATGCCAATGTATAGTCAGTCGAAGTCGGTCAAAGTAATAGTTCAGTCTTGTACATAACTAAGAAGTAACATTTTTTTAGCATTTATTTATAATTCTATGGGAGGCTATTTTTTTCAGAAGTTTTATCTGTAACTTTTTGTTGTTCATTAATGGTCAAATTAACCAATTCAAATTTAGGATAAATTTACACCTTAACTTTATTGTAAATAATTACAAATTAGGAGAATCTCATTTAGGGCCTTAAAAAAACAAGTTAAATATATAGAGCTTGAATGAATATGAAATTGCTCTACAGACCCAATGACCCTTCATGCAATTAAAATTTTGTCTGAAATATCATAAATGCCCTTTTTTTAAAAAAAGTTTTACCATCATCGAGCGCTGAAGCTCTGTCATTGGTGGTAGGCCACCATCACCAGTAGTTGAAGCTCTAACATAAACAATCAAATCCAATCAAAGAGGGCCAAGGGGTCAAAAGAGAATTTAAACCTTTGACCCTTTAGACTTTGTTTGGTTGGAGAAAACGAAAAGGGAGGGGAGATTTTCCTAATTTGGGGAGAGATTTTAGAGGAAAGGAGAGGAGAAATTTTAAAAAATGTCCCCTCTCCTTGTCCCATTCAGACAAGGGGAGGGGAGCTCCAAACAAATAATACCTTAGTATTGAAAAAAGTAGTTCACCATTGAACTAAGAAAACAATCTAATAATATACTACAAAATATATATTTATATATAATTTTTGTTTTCAAGCATTAATATAAGTTGTTGTTAATCATGGACATGTTATTCATATCTGAACAATTACTTGTAAATATGTGAACATGACTTGTTCATATATAAAAAAGTTGTCAATTTTTAAAATCTAGCTTGTTTAATTTGTTTAACAATTTGTTCCTTCAATATTGATAGGTTATTAGTATTGTGCTAAATCATAGATGTACATATTATAAATTTATTTTTTAAGCATTTTCATGGACGATGGTTAATCATGGACATATTGTTCATATCCGAACAATTACTTGTAAATGTATGAGCACAACTTATTCATATATAAAAAAGTTATCAATTTTTAAAACCCAACTTGTTTACTTTTTTTCTTTTTTAGCAACTTGTTTTCTTGATATTTTCATGTAATCTATATTATGCTAAATGAAATATGTGTGTGTGTTATAAATTTATTTTTCAAACATTTTCATAGGTTATGGTTGACCATAGACATATTGTTGTTTTATATTGAACAATTAATTATAAATATGTGAAAATAACTTGTTCATACATAAAAAATTATCAATTTTTAATACCTAACTTGTTTAATTTTTTTAACAACTTATTCCTTCAATATTAATAAGTTATCAATATTGTACTAAATCATATATGTATGCATGCATGCATGCATGCATGTATGTATATATGCATGCATGCATGCATGTTATAAATTTACTCTTCAAGCATTTTCATGGCTATGGTTGTTCATGGACATGTTGTTGTTGATATTCGAATAATCACTTGTAAACAAGTGAATATGACTTGTTTATACATAACAAATTATCAATTTTTAAAACTCAACTTGTTTAATTTTTTTAGCAACTTATTTTTTAATATTGACAGGTTATCAATATTATGCTAAATATAACTCAACTTGTTTAATTTTTTTAGCAATTTGTTTTTTAATATTGACAGGTTATCAATATTATGCTAAATATACACACACACACACACACACCACACACACACACACACACACACAGAGAGAGAGAGAGAGAGAGAGAGAGAGAGAGAGAGAGAGAGAGCGCCTACGGTTGATTTTGGATATATTGTTATTTATATTCAAACAATCCCTTATAAATGTGTGAACAAGACTCATCCAAGTATTAAATAAGTTGAACAAGTTGGGTTTTAAAAATTAATAACTTTTTTATGTATGAACAAGTCATGTTCATACATTTACAAGTAATTGTTTGAATGTGAACAATAATATGTCCGTGATCAAGCATAGCTCATGAAAATACTTGAAAAATAAATTTATAATATATATATATATATATATTTCATTTAACATAGCATTGATAATTTGTCAATATTAAAAAAACAAGTAGCTAAAAAAATTAAACAAGTTGGGTTTTAAAAATTAACAACTTTTATGCATGAACAAGTCTCGTTCACACATTTATAAGTGATTGTTTGAATATGAACAATAACATGTCAATAATCAATTACAGCCTTATAAAAATACTTGAAAAATAAATTTATAACATATACATATATGATTTAACACAATATTGATAACTATCAATATTGAAGGAACACATTAAAAAAGTAAAACAAGTTAGGTTTTAAAAATTGACAATTTTTTTCATATATGAATAAGTCATTTTTACATATTTACAACTGATTGTTTAGATATGAACAATAATATCTTCATGATCAACCACAACTCATGAAAATATTTAAAAATAAATTTATAATATATATATATATATATATCATTTAACATAATATTGATAATTTGATAATTTAAAAAAAAACAAGTCGCTAAAAAATTAAACAACTTGGTTTTTAAAAATTGACAGCTTTTTTATGCATGAACAAGTCATGTTCACACATTTACAAGTGACTATTCGGATATGAACAACATGTCCATGATCAACCACAACCCTTGAAAATGTTTGAAAAATAAAATTATAACATATACACATACGATTTAGTATAATATTGATAACAAATCCTTGACCCCTTGATCCCCTTTGACTGGATTTGACCACTACCACTAGCACTGGAGCTCCGGCCATTAGTGGTGGCTGGCAATGGTGAAACTTTTTTTTTTAAAAAAAAAGAGGAAAGGGCATTTATGTTATTTTGGCTTAAATTTTAATTGCATGAAGGGCCCTTGGGCCTGCAGAATAATTTCATATTCATTTGGATCCTTCATGCATTTAACTTGTTTTTTAAGGTGCTAAATGAGATTCCCCCTTACAAATTTGTATTTGCAAACTAACAATCGTAGCATCGCTATGTTAGTTATTATTGAAGAATAATTGATTCAAAAGTGCACCCAAGTCCATTACCAAATGTCAACCAATTTTTTATTTTTCCTAAAGATTACTACTAAAAAGACAGAAATCGTGTATTAGTAAAACCTTCTGATTGTCATCTAAAATTGAAATGAAAACTTATAAAAGTAAACTTTCCCTCTGTCAGTTTTTTTCTAAAACCCCATGTCAAAATTTTGGCATTCCAAAAGACCAGAACCACATTCTTTCAAGGACCGGATGGACTGCGCGAGAAAAACAAAGTGGAAACAGTATATTTAATCTCATGTTCTCTTCCTCTCTTGCAACCTTCTTATCAGCATTTTTATTTTATTTTTTTTATAGTTGGCTTTGTAAGCATTTTCCTTTTCTTTTCTTAAATCATTTTTGTAGATAGGTTTTCATTTTATTTTTGTTCTATTTAAACAGAGTCTTAACCATTGAAGCGTCACCATACTATATATTTGGCATCAAAAAGATCATATCACCAACCCAATTCCATTTCCCTCTTCTTTGTGACAGTAAGTTCTGTTTTTTTATTATTATTTTATCTACATAAGTTTTATTATATGTTTTAATTGTATCTCATGAAATCATTTTAATTTGGGATAAAAAATATTTAGGAGAAAATTTGATTGGGCCATAATGATATTCTTTATGATTATATAGGAGAAATTTTCACTATGGGAAAGCCCACAACTATTGATAATTTTATTTTTTTTTTCAAAAGAACAGCTCAAAATCTTGAAGTAAGGGAATCAGGTGATCCTGCTGTGGAAACCAATAATGAACAACAACAAATTGATGAACCAAGAGTGAAAATCAATAATGAGCAACAATAAATTGATGGATCATAAGTGGATAGGGATGAAATTAATCTTAATTTACTAAAAAAAGACCAAGGAAAACAAATTTCAATTTAGAAATATCGTGTTAATGAGCGTGATAAGATTGTGCTTATATTAAATTAGCAACCTATCAACCTCCTTTATCTAAATTTCCAACTTCTAAAGGATCATGTCCTCATCATTTTCAAGCTTCTTGTTTCAAAAAGTTTCCTAATTGGTTGGAATATTCACCAACATTAGATGTGGCTTTTTGCTTACCATGTTATTTGTTTAGTCATGATCCAAGAAATGATGGAAAATATGCATTGACATTTCAAGGATTTCAATCATGAAAAAAAGTTAATGACGGTGTTAATTGTGCAATTCTAAATCATGTTGGAACAATTCCTAATTCTCCACATAATTGTTACGTACAAAGTTGTAATACTTTGATAGCTTAATACCAATATATAGAAAAAGTCCTTTATAGACAAAATTCTCAAGCTATTACAAACAACTGTTTGAGGCTAAAGGCTTCTATTGATACAGTTAAATGACTTACTTTCCAAGCATGTGTGTTTATCAGTGATGATGAAACATTGACTTATCTAATATGGGAAATTTTATTGAGTTGATACAATTTTAGTCCCTTATAATCCAAATGTTGCTAATGTTGTTGTAAGGTCTCCTTACTTAATCAC